ATACATTCAAGCAAGCGTGTATGTTTTTGTGTGTGTGTGTGTGTGTGTGTGTGCGCTGCTTGAGTTTACTTCATAGGGAGTAACATAAAATATGGCTTGGGTGAGCAATCATCCATGACAATTTAGCTGTAAACAGCCAGAAAACACGTTTTTTTGTTAAAAAAAATAGTTCCAATAGAAGAGAAGACAACCCATGAGTAAACAAAATTTATGTTTGATTTATTACATTTTTCCCCCAAAACTTTTCGAAGTTTACATTGGGGTCCTAGTTTTTTTTTTTTTTTTTACTTTTTTGTAAGTTTGTGGTCCACTCCCCTCCTAATCCATTGAAACAATATTTTAGTATTGGACAGTGTAAAATAAAAGTGAAATTCCATGATTTATATATGTTGACGAAATACAATACCTCTGCTATTTAACATGCTTTCTTTTATTTTTTAAAAAGTTGTTGTATAAGTGGTGATGGATTTATTTATTTTTGGTCAATAATAGTTTTTAATCCAATAATTCACGAATATGTAGAAATGGTGAAATATATTAATCCAAAAGCATTTATGGTGAAATTAATTTTGAATAAGATTAAAAAAAATTGCTAAAAAAATTTCTCATAAAATTGATCAATTATAACGAATTCTTGAGACGTGCGACGACAATGTTGTTGTGTTCCACTAGAATAACGTTTTTAGAGTGCACATTATTGCTAATCATGTACATGATTCACTGAGAATAAACTATACTAGATTTCAGTTGAAACGACATTTAAACTAATGGTTTTTAATCCAAAAACACTGAATGCATTTTTTAAAAAATTACTTGGACTTAAAAGATAAGTGTGAAACTGTTTTGCTTTGGAATTGCTGAAAAATTCATCTTCGGACATATACGTCTTGGACGTGGAAATATACACCATGTCTTGATTTATGCTTAAAGGTGGTGGAAATATTCACCATGTTTTGGACTTATGTCTTGATTTATAAACCACGTCACAAGGCGGTTCAAGTCAATTTGAGCCTAAAGAGAAAATAATAAATGAGTTTTTTTTTTAATATTAAATTTTTTAAAAAAATTAATTTATTTTTAATTTTTTATGTGAAAGAGAGACAGAAGAAAAATGTGTTAGTATTGCCAAAAAAGAGAATTTAATTTCAACTTTTGTTTATCTTATTTTGTGTACTTTTTTATTTTTTGATTTTTAGACTTTTAATGTTAATGGATTGGATTATGAGCTCAAATTATTGCAATAAATTTTTTGGATTATTTGGAAGCCAGTACACCTAATTAGACTTATTTAGCAAAAAATATATAGAACAAAATATTTTTAAAAAAAGTACACAACTGAGATACAAACACATAAATACCCATTTTAGAGTCATTTAATTCAAAATCTTTTATCTTTAATGAACCTTGAATACAATAAGACGCGGAATTCATGTGAATTTAGGATAATCACAAGATGTAAATATAAATGTGACAAAATAATGTTTTGTCTTATAAAAACAAAATATAAATACAAATTACAGAAATAAAATACTTACAATACTAGCACTAAGTGGGCTAGTAGTGAAAGATAATAGATGAGAATCTCTTCATTTGCATCATTATTAAACATTTTGTTGGCACACCTAGTAACATTGAAACCAGAATCCATGATCAACTTAGTAATCTAAGGTGCCCAATACTCAGTGACTTTAGATGGTACAAAGATGTATTCATCTCTAGAGTCATGCTCAGACCAGATTGCAATAAATTTTTCTAGAAAGAAAAATTTGTGAATGGCCTCCCAAATCTCTTTGCCCATAAGATTAGGGATGCACTTAGTAAAGACACAGTGATTATTGAATATGATTCTCTCACCTATGACAATCTTGTTAGTATCATCCAAAAGGAAGGACTTAAGATGTGTATTGACATGAAGCTCAGTAAGCAACTTGTCAATGATAAGAAAAAAGTTAAATATGAAATAAGAAATTTCTGTGAACAATATAATCTCCCTTCAGTAGCATCATCTGTTGCCAGGAAACATAAAACTCATAAACCTTATTCTCACAGCAAAAGTCACTACTCTAGGAGTAAAAAGATTTTTAGCAAACCTGATTTTTATGAAAACTCTAGAAAATCTTATAAGCCTAAAACTTATAAGAAAAAATCTGGAAAACAAGCAAGCACATCTAAGTCTAAGAAAGATAAAGATGTTAAATGTTTTAACTGTGGTAAAACAGGGCATATTAGTCATAATTGTCCAGTTAAAAAACAAGTTAAAAGATTGAACTTAGCCCCACAGGAAGAAGAAAAAATTCTTAAAATCTTTAGGATAAACAATCATAGTATAGATAGTTCAGACTCCCATAGTAATTCTGCAATTGAATCTGAGTACCTCTCAGCATTTGATNGTCCCACAGGAAGAAGAAAAAATTCTTAAAATTTTTAGGATAAACAATCATAGTATAGATAGTTCAGACTCCCATAGTAATTCTGCAACTGAATTTGAGTACCTCTCAGCATTTGATAATCCTAGTGAACCTAACATTAAATTAGGTTGCNTTATGAGGGAGTATACCTGGTCTATTCAGATTACATAATCCAAGGTTAAGGAATTAACTGAAAAGATCGAAAACGGGGCATTCTTTTCTAGCTAATGCAACGTCGAGGAAGCATTGTAATTCCCAGAAAAGGAATCCTGATTTCCATACTATTGCTGGCTGTTGTATTTTACTTCAGATCACTGAGTTTATTAGATACAGAATCTTATTTTCAGTAGTGAGATTTAATCGAAAGATTTGGCAACATTTTTGTGTGTCCGTTTGAGTTTATAAAGCTAACCAACATTGAACACTACATGGGTGATCAATCATGCTGGTCGTTAGGTTAGATAGAAAGAAATGATAGAAAGTGAGAGTGAATGCAAAAAAAAAAAAAAAAAAAGGATAAAATATATATTTTCTAGTGTACGTTTGGTTTGACTGAAAATGTTACTGGAGAGTTGTAAGAAAATTTTTATAATTAGCCGAATGGTCCACATCCATTTTAAATACAAACAGATCCATATATTTTCTCAATACCTATTTTTTTGTTTGGGTTTTAAATTATTTGTAAATGTTGATCTTGTGTTAGGATTAAGAATAACAGATGTGTAAGAGATTTTTTTTTTTTTTTTTTTGCTTCGGAAAAAAAAAAAAGCATTTCTTATTTATAATAAAAATTAATCCCAACACAATATCAACATTGACTAGTAATTTAAAACCCAAAAAAAAAAAACCAAACCAGCCCCTTCCCATTCACCCCTCCACTAGAAACCCAAAACCAAAAACACAAAATCTTTATCAGTGGCTCTGTTTTTACAGGTATCCACAAACCCACCATTTCATACACTCCCCAAGTAGCTCTCTAGTCGGTCAAACCCTCCACGCACTTGTTGTAGTGATGTGTTCAACTTGTTGTATTCGGCGAGCTGGGAGTCCAACCTCTTGATCCATATCATCCTGCCTCAAGAGTTTTTCTGTGTTTCAACTTTGCTGAGCTTTATTTTGTTGTACATCTCAGCAACCTCTTGTTCCTATGGTGTAAAGGATGAATAGAAGAAGAGACTTACCTGTGGGCAAAATCGTAAAATGAGAGTCAACTGCAGCACTTTCACGAGAAAGAAACTATTTCCCCGTTGATTTTGCAAGAAATCAAAAGTGGGATTTACAAGAAAATCTTGTGGGCCCCACTTCTCACTTTCCTGTATTTTACATCAATTTCTTTCTAAACAAAACAGGAAAAAAAATCTGTTTTTTTTTTCTTTCCCACATTTTCCACCATAATCTTGCTAACCAAACGAAGCCGCATAGAAATTTAGCTGTAAACAGCCAGAAAACTTCAAAAATATAATAGAGAAGTGGAGATCATGCATGGAAATGGCTAATTTTACGTTGTAATTTGAGGTCATGATTAAAGCTTATTAGATTGTGATATTGTCTTGCATTTTTATATTAGGGAAGGTTACATTGGCACCTAAAGCAAAACCTTAGTTATTTGCTGTATTGCGTTTTGCTATGTAAAGAATTCCATAGGGTGTCTGCAAGGGCACAAGTTGAAGGTTTTTTTTTTTTTTCAGAAGGTAAATAATTGTATTAATTCGAAAGAGAGATAATATAATAGAGCTCAAAACACATCTCGAGGATACACTTAAATTTCTCAAAATTGGGGCCGTCTTTTCTAGGTAATTCAAGATCACTAAGTTTCATGGATACGAAAATCTTACGTCACTGTGGCTCCATGAAAACAGTTGGCACCGTTTTCATGGCAGAATTGTGCTATAATTTTAGCCGTTTAATCATAGTCCCAAAAATTAATTTTTTGGTATCATGCATCTACCTCATTCAATAAAAATGTGGCACGTCACTCCCCAGAGACCTTTCTATTGTACCTGTCACAGGTGTCAAGTTCGCCACGAATTTTTGCATCTCTGATGGCACTAACTTTTGCATTTAGTCTCAACCAAAGCACACGCTCGAGTTCAGTCAGACAATATGTCAAACAATAGGTAGACACACGGAAAATATGGCACCCCGGTAAGCAACCCAGTTTGGGTGTGACCCAAAGGCCAACAAAGAGGATCAGGATCCTGGATTCATCAATTTTTTTTTTTTTTGGTGCTTCATGAATCTGTTAGCTTGCACTGCACTTCGGTGACAGTCACCACTTGATTAAGCATCAAACAAATCACATACAAGACTGAATAAAGAAAATATGGTATCACACTTTGATGGACGCCGGTCTGATGGTTCAATCATAGCTTGTGGAGTTTTTGATATTAAAGTATAATTTAGGTGCATAAATTAAGTGGCTTTACTATGAACATTGAAGAACTAAATAACACAAGGGCTGGTGGAAAAGTGGCCTATGCCATTGTAATTGCAGTTTTGTTTTCTTTTGGAAATTTTGCAGCCTTGAAGACCCTCAATACAAGATGGAGTTGGTAAAACTTCAAAAGACAGAACCATTTTCGAGTTTTGACGTCATGAATAATTTAACAAGTAGGCATAAAGGAGCTCATTCCAAACATCAGGTACTCCTGGAAGGCACCAATGCTCACAATCTGAATGTTTCTGAGGCTTTGATAACTCCTCTGCTGTTGGTGGCACCCACGGTTTCCTATAAATAGATGGATGAGCTTCTTTTCGGTATTCTGTCAGTTGTGTAATATTTAGGATTTGTACAGTTAAACCTCTCGTTCTTAGTTCGTGTACTGCTGCTTCTGCTATTTGCATCATTCTGCGATCTGACATACTTCCCCAATACCCATCCGTTGTAATTGGCTCTGTTTCACTGTAGCAATTTTCATCACTTGCCATTCCCCAATCTTCACCCCTGCAATGTTCATGGCCATCTTAGTTATATAACAGTAATATTATCAATTGTACTTCATTTTCAGTTGTACTTCATTTGCAATGTTCATGGCCATCTTAATCATATGTTGGTACTTTATAGCCTGGTTGATTTTGTCCATCATTTGCTAATGAAATGCATGACTTGATTTGTGGATTCAATAAGGAAAAGTAAGTTAAGTAAGGAGTAGTGGTTATCATACAGTTTGTGGAAAGGTGAGAGGCTCATGAAGAACAATTGTGTCCTTGTACGGTTGACATGGATATCCAACCAATCCGACCACGTCTTTAGAGCCATCTCATAGCTGCGCAGCCTCCCTACCTCTTTGTAGATTGCATCTGAGCTATTAAATGATCCCCACCTGATCAGAAATAGTTTATCAGTATTTTGAGTCATGTTTATAAGATGACTGATGGTAGGAAAAGGTTCGTACTAGTGTTACTAAGATTATAAGGATTTACTTACAAAAGTGTCGTGTTTTCTAGCCACCAAGCAAAGGAATCAAAGATGAGTATATCTGCATTAATCCATTGCCTTGCGTGCTTTTCAATGGCCTTGATTCTGACAATATGGTCTCGTACAAAAGGGAACCGCGTATCATCACGATTAGATTCCACCAGATATGGAGCCCAATAGAAATCGAACGAGATATTGTATTCCTTCATCACATAACAAACAATACATAAGCCAAAATTCTCTCAATGAGTTGACAATCTCTCAACTTACCAATTTCAAATTTTAAGATTCGATCCAAAATGTACCAAGGTTGGGGGTTTTGGTCAACTACAATTATCCACGGGTAAATTCATCGGGCTCTACTAATAAGTTTTTTTTATAACCTTCCGAAAAAAAAAACTATAAGCCAAGCTTGACTTAGTTGAGAAAGAGTGTTGGAATATGACTGACCAGGGTCTTAAATGTTGACAAGGAGCCTTTGTAGATGAAAGATCTGGATGATGGAGGGATCGATGACTCGACCATGCACACCATTGAAATCCATTGATTCCGATTAATTGAATCCCCAACAAACACCAGCCTCTTATCTCTTAGCTTTTCCAGTAATGCTGTGGCATTGAACCTTGTAAAATACATCAGGCTCATGAAATCATTGTGATCAATTACATAGGAACATTACAATGAGACACCTTCGGGGAGAGAGAGAGAGACCTTGGAATGTCACAATCAAGAGGTTGCCATCTCCAGTGTTGATATTTCAAATCCTTCCTCCCAAACTTCTCACAAGCTAAGTCATCCGTCAGGAAAGTACATTGTGCCTCTTTGTATAGAGGGTAGGATTTGTTATCATAAACCCATTTGCCCGAAAATAAGTCGCAGCTTGAAGATGAGTTCTCAGGTATAGCCTGCTTTTCAAACAACCACCTGCTATCTTCTTTTAGATAAATGGAAGCAATGACTAAGGCCGCGACAAGGAGGCCTATGAATCTCCATGTCCCAAGAACTACTTTGTGGGTGCTTGCCATGTTCACCTTCCACCCACCTAATGCTAAATTGTCTGAGTTTCAGAGCAATGAGAAGCAATGGAGTTGAATCTTATACATTCAAGCAAGCGTGTATGTTTTTGTGTGTGTGTGTGTGTGTGTGTGTGCGCTGCTTGAGTTTACTTCATAGGGAGTAACATAAAATATGGCTTGGGTGAGCAATCATCCATGACAATTTAGCTGTAAACAGCCAGAAAACACGTTTTTTTGTTAAAAAAAATAGTTCCAATAGAAGAGAAGACAACCCATGAGTAAACAAAATTTATGTTTGATTTATTACATTTTTCCCCCAAAACTTTTCGAAGTTTACATTGGGGTCCTAGTTTTTTTTTTTTTTTTTACTTTTTTGTAAGTTTGTGGTCCACTCCCCTCCTAATCCATTGAAACAATATTTTAGTATTGGACAGTGTAAAATAAAAGTGAAATTCCATGATTTATATATGTTGACGAAATACAATACCTCTGCTATTTAACATGCTTTCTTTTATTTTTTAAAAAGTTGTTGTATAAGTGGTGATGGATTTATTTATTTTTGGTCAATAATAGTTTTTAATCCAATAATTCACGAATATGTAGAAATGGTGAAATATATTAATCCAAAAGCATTTATGGTGAAATTAATTTTGAATAAGATTAAAAAAAATTGCTAAAAAAATTTCTCATAAAATTGATCAATTATAACGAATTCTTGAGACGTGCGACGACAATGTTGTTGTGTTCCACTAGAATAACGTTTTTAGAGTGCACATTATTGCTAATCATGTACATGATTCACTGAGAATAAACTATACTAGATTTCAGTTGAAACGACATTTAAACTATTGGTTTTTAATCCAAAAACACTGAATGCATTTTTTAAAAAATTACTTGGACTTAAAAAGATAAGTGTGAAACTGTTTTGCTTTGGAATTGCTGAAAAATTCATCTTCGGACATTTACGTCTTGGACGTGGAAATATACACCATGTCTTGATTTATGCTTAAAGGTGGTGGAAATATTCACCATGTTTTGGACTTATGTCTTGATTTATAAACCACGTCACAAGGCGGTTCAAGTCAATTTGAGCCTAAAGAGAAAATAATAAATGAGTTTTTTTTTTAATATTAAATTTTTTAAAAAAATTAATTTATTTTTAATTTTTTATGTGAAAGAGAGACAGAAGAAAAATGTGTTAGTATTGCCAAAAAAGAGAATTTAATTTCAACTTTTGTTTATCTTATTTTGGGTACTTTTTTATTTTTTTATTTTTAGACTTTTAATGTTTATGGATTGGATTATGAGCTCAAATTATTGCAATAAATTTTTTTATTAGACTTAATTTTTTGGATTCTTTGAAAGCCAGTACACCTAATTAGACTTATTTAGCAAAAAATATATAGAACAAAATATTTTTAAAAAAAGTACACAACTGAGATACAAACACATAAATACCCATTTTAGAGTCATTTAATTCAAAATCTTTTATCTTTAATGAACCTTGAATACAACAAGACGTGGAATTCATGTGAATTTAGGAGAATCACAAGATGTAAATATAAATGTGACAAAATAATGTTTTGTCTTATAAAAATAAAATATAAATACAAATTACAGAAATAAAATACTTACAATAGTAGCACTAAGTGGGCTAGTAGTGAAAGAGAATAGATGATAATCTCTTCATTTGCATCATTATTAAACATTTTGTTGGCACACCTAGTAACATTGAAGCCAGAATCCATGATCAACTTAGTAATCTAAGGTGCCCAACACTCAGTGACTTTAGATGGTACAAAGATGTATTCATCTCTAGAGTCATGATCAGACCAGATTGCAATAAATTTTTCTAGAAAGAAATATTTGTGAATGGCCTCCCAAATCTCTTTGCCCATAAGATTAGGGATGCACTTAGTAAAGACACAGTGATTATTGAATATGATTCTCTTACCTATGACAATCTTGTTAGTATCATCCAAAAGGAAGGACTTAAGATGTGTATTGACATGAAGCTCAGTAAGCAACTTGTCAATGATAAGAAAAAAGTTAAATATGAAATAAGAAATTTATGTGAACAATATGATCTCCCTTCAGTAGCACCATCTGTTGCCATGAAACATAAAACTCATAAACCTTATTCTCACAGCAAAAGTCACTACTCTAGGAGTAAAAAGATTTTTAGCAAACCTGATTTTTATGAAAACTCTAGAAAATCTTATAAGCCTAAAACTTATAAAAAAAAATCTGGAAAACAAACAAGCACATCTAAGTCTAAGAAAGATAAAGATGTTAAATGTTTTAACTGTGGTAAAACAGGGCATATTAGTCATAATTGTCCAGTTAAAAAACAAGTTAAAAGATTGAACTTAGCCCCACAGGAAGAAGAAAAAATTCTTAAAATCTTTAGGATAAACAATCATAGTATAGATAGTTCAGACTCCCATAGTAATTCTGCAATTGAATCTGAGTACCTCTCAGCATTTGATAATCCTAGTGAACCTAACATTAAATTAGGTTGCAAGGATAGTTGTCTCTGCAAGACAATTAATGTAATAACCAAAGAAAATGAGGAAGAAAACATTCTCATTGAGTTAATTAGCAAAATTGAGGATCCTGAGTTAAAAATCAAATATGTTAAAAAACTCAAAGATCTTTTAGTAAAAAAAGATGATAAGAATGTTTCCAGTAGAAAGCAACTTATTAGCTTCAACACAGTAATGGAAAGATTTAGTAAAGAGAAAAAGAAAGAACTCACTTTACAAGATCTTCAAGCTGAAGTTAATAAAATTAAATCTGAAATTAAAGAACTAAAAGCTCAAGACAAGAAATTTGCAGAAGCTTTAAGTTTTTTACACACAGATAGCTTTGACGCTACAAAGGATTTTGATCCTGAAAACAGTCATTAGTTAATGAACAATCTGAGACAGAATCTCAGGATGAAACACACTTACAGCGGATACCTGTAACCTCCACCTCTTTAGTGAAAAATTCGGGTGTAACGAAGCTACCATCTCACGATGGGTGTTCACAAACTAATGATAGTTACAGAATTAATTTGGTTAACAAAATTAGTTTCCAAAAATGGTATTCTCAAGTACAAATCATCATTAATGATTTTAAACTTGAAATTGTTGCCCTTATTGATACAGGTGCAAATGTGAATTGTATTCAAGAAGGGATAATACCAACTAAGTATTATTAAAAGACACTTGAGAAACTTAGTTCAACAAATGGTAGTAAAATGAAAGTTAAATACAAGTTACCAAATGTCCATATTTGTCAAGACAATGTATGTTTCAAAACATCCTTTGTCCTAGTACAAAATATGACTAGTGAAATCATCCTTGGATTGTCATTTGTATACTTGTTGTATCCATTTACAACAGATACTAAGGGTGTAACTACTAAGCCATTTGGTCACTCAATAACTTTCAAGTTTATTAGTAAACCAGAGACTAAGACATTAAGACAACTAAGAGATCACTCAGTCTCTCAGCATCTTAATGCAATTAATCAAAAAACTCAACAAGTAAAATTTCTCAAAGATGAAATTAACCATAAAAGAGTTCAAGAACAATTGACAAATCCAATCTTAATTAAAAAGATTGAACAATTTAGGTTAAAATTGGAAGAAGAAGTATGTTCTAACCTTCCTACAGCTTTTTGGCATAGAAAGAAACATATGGTAAAACTTCCCTACATAAAAGGATTTAGTGAGACAAATATCCCTACTAAATCTAGACTAATCCAAATGAGCCATGAAGTAATGAAAATCTGCAAGAAAGAGATTGTCCAATTACTTAAAAATGGTATCATTAGGAAATCCAAATCTCTTTGGTCATGTCCAGCTTTCTATGTCATCAAAAATGCAGAATTAGAAAGAGGCGTACCAAGATTAGTAATCAATTATAAACCATTAAATGCTGTTTTGGAATAGATCAGGTACTCAATTCCAAATAAACAGGATTTAATTAAAAGACTTAGTAATTCAGTAATCTTTTCTAAATTTGATTTGAAAAGTGGTTACTGACAAATTCTTATATCTCCTAATGATAGGTATAAGACTGCATTTACAACTCCTTTTGGTCATTATGAATGGAATGTAATGCCCTTTGAATTAAAAAATGCACCTAGTGAATTTCAAAATATAATAAATAAAATTTTTAATAGTATTAGTCATTTTTCTATTG